ATCGCTGATCCCGGACGCAGTGAGGTGGTACGGGTGTCGACATCGGCGCGTCAACTATTACTTCACACAGTTTTTAACAGGGCATGGATCGTTCAGGAAATACACCCATCGTATAGGAAAAACCGAGAACGATCTATGTCCTGAGTGTGGAGTGGTGGATGACCCGCAGCATGTCGTGTTCGTATGCCCCGCATATCACGTTGGACGCACCGAACTGCAGCTGGGCCTGGGATCCCCCCTAGGCGAGCCTCGCGAGCTAATTGATAAAGCTATCGACAGCAAGCATGACTTCGACCTGATCATTGCTTTTGTCACACAGACAATAAAGCATAAAGAAGAAAACGAGAGGCGACTGCAGACAGGATAACCGTATATTTATCTTTTAACGTGTCTTGTGTCGTAAAAGGCAGTCAGTGGGGGGAGGACCATATACACCCAAACCACACTGACTGTCTAATTTTAACTTATCCTATTTTGCTTTTACACGGTTTTACTTATTTATTTAATTTATCATAATTTTATATATTTATTTACTTTATCGTTGTTTTATTCTTGATCTGATTTTATTTATACGTTATTGTTTGCTGAACAATTTCACTTTCAATTTCCTTTTCCTGTTAATGTTCTCTATCTTTTCCTTCTTCTTTCTTTGGCTTCTTTTCTATCTTTCATTTCATCCTTCCTCCTCTTTCTCTCTTTCTATTTCTTTTTTAATTTCTTTCTTTATTACTTTAAACTATGTCGTGTTTCGTCTGGAGACAGTCAGCAGGGAAGGACCTTTTACATCCGACCTACACAGACTGCCCCATCTAAATGTTAGAATGAATAGATGGATGAGTAGGTGTGTCTAGATGAAAGTAAGGAATGACTGGAGTTGAATGAGACTAAGTATAGAATAAGGGGTGGATGAGAAAGAGTGAATAGATGAAGGTATGAACGACTGGAGTTATTTGTAACTGCCGACTGACATCTTAGGGTTGGTTCCATCATGGGTTGGGAAGCGTCCCGACCGCCCTCTTTTTCGTCTTCGGTCACTTCGCTGTGCGGGGGAGGCGTCCGTGAAGCTGACCAACCCATGGAATTCACGCCGGGGGTGTTAGGGGGAGCTATGAGTAAGGTCGACGGGTCAGACATGCTCGCTAAGAGCGGTTCCAGACCCGCCGGCTGGAGGAAGAGGAGGTGAGTTTAGTCGGTAGGCGGTCTCGACACGCGGTACAGCGAGACGGACTGAATCCGACACACCAGGGACACCTTCCCTGACGGTCTTTTGAAGATTCTCACCTCCCAAAAAAAAAAAAAACTACTTTTTGTAGAATCAAAACTCCAGGAAATGCTCCAGTCAACTTAAAGAACACTTTTCAGCTTAAAATATTAAAAAAGGAGATCTGTAAACATTATAGTAAGCTCAACTTAAGGTAAATTAAGGATTGTAAACTTAAGGTAACGTATGACTCTCTACTTGATTCCATAGGATTTGATAACTTAAATAACTTTTTGAATGATGTTCAGGACAGATTGGACAATGTAACTTCTACCAAATTTAACAAACTTAAATCAAAACTAAACAATCTCATTAAAAATAAACCTAATTCATCAAATCATAACAGTAACAACACCAAATTTTCTAATTTTTCTTTTCACCCAAGATTAAAAACTCTCTCTTCAGTTACCTTTGACAGTAATGAACTCTAATTACTAAATCTAGGCCTCAAATACTCCATTCCTAGTAAGGTTTCGGAAAAAGACCTTCAGAGTCTCTCCATTGAGCTAGACATTATCATTCAAAATCTGTCTATTCCTTTAAATCAGAAAACTTCAATTAGAAATTTCTGTTTCAATACTATTAACAAATTTAAAAATAAAAATTCTTCATCCAACTCTTCAATAATAGTCTTTAATACTAACACCCCTTCATCTATCAACTTTCCTTCCACCCACCATAATAGCCATTTAACATCTAACTTTCCCAAATTTTCTCACAACAAACGCAATGATCATTTAAAAACCCTCAAATCAATCAAAACTAAAATCAACTCCAACAATTTAATCATCAGTAAAGCGGACAAAGGTAGCTGTCTAGTTAGAGGACCATTTTACCTATGTAGGGTCATACGTCGCCATGTTACCAATTCCAACGGTAACTTAAACATCATAATTTGTAACCACATATAATGTAAAACAAATGTAAATTTATATCATTTAAAGGGTTTTGACCCATGTATTTTGGTGGCTCATAGCATGTATACCTCGTTTGCACTGATGATGGATTTAACAATCCAAAAACGTTTTGTAATATTTTTGTGATTATATACCTTTTATAAAGGATTTAAATAAATTTTTTACTTATTAAAAACATTTTTAAAGATTATACATGCAAGAATATTGAGAAAGTGTGAAGCGGATGTTTAGTTTCACAACTCTTGCAAAAGTTCCAAAAATATCGTGACCAACAAAAAGATCTTTTCGTTGCGTTTATAGACTATGAGAAAGCTTTCGACAAAGTTAAATATAACATTCTCATGGAATATCTAAAGTAAAAAAGGACTCGACAAAAATGATAATAACATAGTAAGAAATCTCTATTGGAACCAACAGGCTGTGATAACATTAGATGGAAATGGCACGGATGCACAACAGATAAATAGAGGAGTGAAACAGGGCTATGTACTTTCACCAATACTATTTAATATATATATTTCGAAGTAACTTACGCAAGTACATGAAAACTGTACAGAAGGGATGCAGATAAATGGTAAAAATATAAATAACATTCGTTATGCTGACAATACAGTCATTATCGCTTAAAGTGAGACAGACCTGCAGACGTTAGTAAACACAATTTGTGATACTGGGGAACAGTTTGATTTAACAATAAACATAAAGAAAACAAAAACCATGGTTATCATTAACCCTTAATATCCTGAATTATTATATTTTTGAGAACTGATATATTTTATGGTAATTTGTTGTTGGTATGAGTCCTCTTTAAAAAAAAAAGGAGATAGAACGGACCTAGAAAATTATAGACCTATTAGCCTGTTGAACCACATATACAAGCTCTTCACTAGGGTAGTGACATCAAGATTGGAGAAAAAATTAGATTTCTACCAACCGAGAGAGCAGGCAGGATTCCGCTCAAATTATGGTACCAATCAATGATCACCTCCACACAGTAAAGACACTCATTGAAAAATCTATAGAATATAACAAACCTCTTGTTCTCGCTTTCATAGATTTTCATAAAGCGTTCGACACGATCGAATTATACAGCCTTATAGAAGCAATGAATGACAGAAGGATTGACCATAGGTATAGTGAGCTTATTTATAATATTTACAAAAATGCCACTATGACTGTTAAAATAGACAATAAAACCCGGCCAATAAAAATAAATCGTGGAATAAGGCAAGGAGATACATTGTCGCCGAAATTATTCATAACGGCATTAGAATATGCCTTTAAGATGATCAATTGGGACCACAGAGGAGTAACGATAGACGGCGAAAAGCTTAACCATCTCCGTTTCGCAGATGACATTGTTCTTATCACAGATAATTTAGGAGAAGCTACAGATATGTTAAACGAATTGGATTTTGCATGTTCGAAGGTGGGCCTGAGAATGAACTTGACCAAAACTAAGTTTATGACAAATTTGGCCCCCAATAACCATTTGACTATTCAAGACAAAGTGGTAGAACTGGTGGAGAAATATACGTATTTGGGTCATGAAATAAGAATCAGTAGGGATTACCAAACATGTGAGATCCAAAGACGAATTACTTTAACATGGGCAGCCTTTGGAAAACTGCGAGACACACTTAGGGCGAACATACCAATCAGCCTCAAAAGAAAAGTGTTTGACCAATGCGTATTACCGGTCATGAGCTATGGAGCGGAAACTATGACTTTAACCAAGACCACGGCTTCAAAACTGAGAGTGGCACAGAGACGAATGGAACGGTCTATGCTGGGAGTGACGTTGAGGGACCGAATAAGAAACGAAGATCTGCGAAGAAGGACGAGTATTACTGATGTTGTGGAACGCATAGCGGAACTAAAATGAAACTGCACAGGCCATGTAGCGAGAATGCACGATTCACGATGGATGAGCAAAATTACAAATTGGAGGCCAAGAGCAGACAAACGCAGTAGAGGAAGACCACCTACACGTTGGGCTGACCACATCAGGCGTATCACTAAAAATTGGCAACAAAGAGCACAAAATCGTGAGGAATGGAGGAGTTTAAGGGAGGCCTATGTCCAGCAGTGGACGTGAAAAAATAGAGGCTGGATGATGATGATGATGATGATGATGAGTCCTCTAGTCGAGTTTCTGAGCATATTTTCAAAAAAAAGTTAACAAAAAAGCTATTAGATGTGACATATATGACACTCTAAGACATATAGGGAGCAAAATAAGAAAAAATGCGAAAGCTTTTGATATGATATATTTAATATATCATATCATTTGATATGATATATTTAAACAAAAAATATGTTTTACATATGTATACAGAAATATTATGTTGGAAACTGGTCATTACAATTAATGCACAACCACAAACCTCACTTTCTACACATGGTTCTAACAACACGATTTGTAACTTAGCCAGCTTGACTAAAAACTAAATGGAAAAGAGATTGATCCATTGGTAAAAATATTCCGAGTAAATCTCAAAAAAGTACAGAAAAGAAGATCAAAAGCATACAATATACATATACAGCCATGATGCGATGGAGGCCCAAGCGACATTAAACTAACAAGTGACTGCAATCGGGAACGAAACGAATGAGGAACAAAAGAAGGCATAGAAAAACACAAAATATTTCGTGTATGAAATTATAATCTAAAACTAGTTAATGAAGAGCTAGAGGTACAATTTTAAAAGTTTGCCAAGTACTACGTATTTTTTATTAATATCTAAAATACACCACCTAAAACGTATATAATCAAATCATTAAATAAAACCTTACAAAGAACTTAAAGCTATACACATTTTTCAATTACACCTAACACACTGGAGGCAGCATTTGCAAAATAGTTTCCGTGGAACTGTACCGTTTACACACAACGGAAAGGCACATCTTACTGCATCACAGTTTAGTTCACAGTCTTTCGGGAGACAAGTAGGGCAACACCTTCCCGGAATAATTCCTTCAATTTGATGGGGCGGACAATTAACAGGACTACATAGAACAGCTCTACAATCAATTTCACCAGTATCGTTGCAATAATTTGCAAGTGTAATAACGCAAGCGGCTGAGATTAGGAATATTGTTAATAGTCGCATTTTGTTGGTAATAACTTTTAGATTAGAGGTTTTAGAATTAATGAGTAAATATTTTTTTGTTTGGCTTTAAAATGTTTTTTTTTATTGTTTAATATGTAATTTATCACTAATAATGTATATTCGAGGAACGTGTTTAATCATCAAATTGCATTTAAACTAAAGTCTGTAAACACATGTCATGTCACAGAGTAACAAATTGGGTTTGGTGTGCAGTCGAAAAAATCGTAACTAAAACAAACTTTGCAATGATTGAGCCTTCGTTTTGTTTGATTGACCACTGAAGATATAAAAATATTACATAACTTACTTACCCTTTTTTTTCTTCCTATCTTAATCTATATCTCAAAATAGGAGATGATAAAGAAGATCCAGAGTTAGAAATTAGAAAAACAAAAACATGCAAGGACTATAAATATCTTAGATCTATACATCTGGACATCGAAAACAGAATACAGCAGGGAAAAAAGCGGTTAACATTCTAAAAAATTCTAGTCTTAAAATTCTAATTCTATTCTAAAAAATAATAAAAGTAGTAGAAATAGATTTTCTAAAGAGAGCGTGTGGTGTATCCAATAAAGATCATATCAGAAATGAAATATTAGAATGAGGACAAATACTATATATTTCAGTGTAGACAGAATTGAAACGAGTCAACTAGTGTGGTATGGTAACGTGAAGCAAATGAATGAAGATAGATGGCCAAAGAAAGCTTTAAATTACATACCACAACAAAGAAGAAGAAAATGTACGACACATAATAATGAGAGATAGAGCCATCAAAGAAGACAAATGGAAGGGCAGAAAACGATGGCGGTCGAAATTCGAGAGGAGGCATAGGCTGTAGGAAAAAACATATTAAGATATTAAGACGTCTGAGGTGGATAGGATATGTAATGCGGATGGAACAAAATGACCCAGCTAGAAAAATGTTACAACTACAGAAAAATTAAATAAAGGGGTACTTATACAAATTTCTTCAAGTAGTTGTAACTAAAGAAATAATTATTAAACACAAAAAACTTTTTTCAAATAAAACTCAAAAGGGTTAGTTTAAAAGGAATAAACAAAATGTTAAAAAAACAAAATTGAACATTTATTGTGTCTTAACACAAACAGTTACACAACAATACAAAAATATTACCACGATAGTCGCAAATAGGCCTTAATATGAATTATAGCAAGACCAAAACTATAACAAATACAGATGAAGACATCACAATGAGAATCGGACAAGACGAAATAGAACAAGTTAAGGATTATATATATCTTGGTCAAACTATAAAACTTAACAAAGAGAACCAAACAGCAGAGATAAGAGACGAGTTAGACTGGCATGGGCGGCATTTGGCAAACTAAGCTACATTCTTAAAAACAAAAGATATCCACAGCATCTTAAGACTAAAGTATATAATCAATGCGTACCCCCTGTTCTTACGTATGGCTCCCAAACGTGGACATTTCCAAAGGCAAACATGGACAAAATCATAAAAACCCAAAGAGCAATGGAAAGACAAATGTTGCACATAAGACTAATGGATAAGAAGAGAAACGAGTGGATAAGAGAGAAAACAAAAGTGAGGGATGTTAGACAAGAAGTTGCAAAATTGAAATGGAGATTTGCCGGACACAATATAAGACAAAAAGAAGACCGATGGAACAAAATTCTTATAAGTTGGAGACCGTGGGAATATAAACGAAGCAGAAGAAGGCCCCAAATGAGATGGGCAGACGATATCAAGAAGCACGTGGGCTCTAGATGGATGACTGTTGCGACAGACAGAGAAGAATGGAAAAGGATTGGGGAGGCCTATGTCCAAAGATGGACCGAAGAAGGCTAATTAGATAGATAGATAGATAGTCGCAAAATACAAAAAAACTTACATGCGTTCTACTAATTTACAAATTCAGGAGATGCTACAAAAACTTACTAATGTTACTGACGTATAAACTCTGGCAAATATAAAAATTATTACAAAAATAAAAATTATCTTTTTAAACAATGAAAGCAATTATTACGTTAGCAAAAAAATGTTTGTCTTTACTTTAAAATTTAAAACATTAAATGTTACCTTGATTTTTCACTAGTAATTTTGCACTCAAACTTCTGAAAACTAAACAGGAACTTACTGGAACAAAAGGAAACCATTTCCATAATCTGGAACGAAGATCGGACGTAGATGGGCTGGATCAAACAGGAAAACGACAACAAAGCTGGTGAGACATCCTATACACTGCTTCAAAATTTCATCAGTGTACTGCACAAATCATCTTCCACAGCTACATACTTTCACAGAAGGGGCCAAAAACAGAAAAACACAAATTCGACGGTAAATTTGCGGATCCATACTTGCTATCCACCCACCGAACCAAGTAAGAATTAATCTACACTAGCACCTACAGCGACTCAAATAAGAATGACCAAATTCTCTTAAGAATTCGTTTACTAACTTGAAAATAAACACACGCTGAAATAACAAAACACAACGAAAATTAAAACGTAAAAGATTCAATTTCTACGACATACTAAAATTATAAGACGACTTCGAATAAAACATTAAAAAAATGTCTAGAAAGTACTTACACATCTTTAAAATAATAAACAAAATGGTTTTTATTACTTGGCGACGCTGAAAAGGGATGGAAAGAATTCGGTGTTTCAATACGTACAAATCGGAAATTTAAGCAAATTCAAAAAATATTCTGCGATTTCTCAAAATATATAAGGGGATTGCAATATATTACATATATGAGGGGATTTCAATATACACCAAAAAATCAATGAATTGCAAATGCTACAGTCTCGACCTATTCCGAAAGATATCCACGGTTAGTATAATTAAACCTAGAGCTAAAATTAACACTATTACAAAAATTAATATTAAACTCAAGTCTTCGGGGTTGAACTGAGCCGATTATCGTTACGCCGTGCTTTCGACATCCTCTTTGATGTCTTCTTTAGGGCTTCCGAGGTATCAGTCTCTAGAGTCCCCAGACACTAGTACATTGATCACTAACCGATGCATTACTGTAACTGTAGAGTTACACTAAATTTTAATTAAATTTATTTTAATTTCGTTATCGTTATCGTAGACATATACTTACCTTTTTTTGATAAGACACGGCAACGTCGTAATAGAACTTAGTAGAATTATTTTCATAATGACTTTATTTGTATTAACTGAACTTGTTGGTTGACTGAAATATAAAATTTTTACCTGTCACCGTTTGTAGGTTCTAAGGCAGGGGTGCTCAAACAGTCGATCGCGATCGACTGGTCGATCGCGAGTGCTTTTTGGGTAGATCTCGAGAAGAAAAAAAATTTTAATAAGTAGGTAGGTAACTAAACTACATTGCAATTCAAAGAAGTGGGGACAACAAAATACTGTCCACACAGCATATTTTATATTTACATATATTAACTAATTATTTTATTAATTCAATATTTATTATAATTATTAATCAAATTTGGGATGATATTCTATCAACTGCAAAAATGTATTACGTAATAAAATAACACTGCTTGCGGCAAAAGGTGGCTTTATCAAAGGAACGCGCGGCACTTGTCAAAGAAAAGCTGTATTGTTTCTAGACGAGAGACAGTAGTACAGTCTAGTTTCGGGCGGCGCGTTTGACGGAAACATTCGAGACTTTCGTTCACGCCGATATAAATGTTGCGCCTGCAGGAATTGGAGTTATTCTGAATTGTAACTTGATAGCGATCCTACGTCAATACAAAGTTTATTATTAAATAGTGGAAAATGAGTGCAGTGAAGAAATCTAAAACGTATCATTTTAGTAAGGATTGGGAGGAAGAATTTTTCTTTTCTATGGTGAAGGATAAGTGCATTTGTGTTATTTGTCGTGCGTCAGTTCCAATACCTAAGCGTGGTAACTTAGAGAGGCATCATAAAACGGTTCATAAAAACTATGAAAAGGATTTTCCGCCACAGAGTGAATTAAGAAAACGAAAAGTAAGTGATTTGATATCTTGTTTGAAAAAAGAACAATCCATGTTCACAAGACCAGCCAAACAATCAAAAGCTGCTACGATCGCGTCATTTAAAATATCTCATATTTTGGCGAAACACAAGAAACCATTTGAAGATGGATCGGTGGTGAAGGAAGCATTTATTGAAGCAAGGGAGACTTTATTTGGAGATTTTAAAAATAAAACAGAAATCATGTCTGTTATTAGAGAACTTCAGTTATCTCGTCCGATTGTCACAAGGCGTATTGAAGTCATGAGTCAAGACATCGCAGATAAACTAAAACATGATATCATGGAATGTACATACTTTTCTTTACAGTTCGACGAATCCATCGATATGACAGACACTGCCTAGCTGTGTATTTTTATTCGGATGGTATTCAATGACATGTTGGCTAAGGAAGAATTTTTGACAATCATTCCTCTGAAGAAGAAGACCCGTAGCGAAGATATATATATATATATATATATATATATATATATATATATATATATATATGACGTTTTCTTAAATTTTGTAAAAAACTACGAGCTACCAATATATAAATTAATGTGCATTACAACCGATGGAGCACCAGCAATGACTGGAAACAAAAACGGTTTTGTGGCATTGTGTCGAGCTAATGAAGAATTCCCTTCATTTTTTTCATTCCATTGCATTATACATCAACAAGTTTTGTGTTCAAAAGTTTTAAACACGGAGGAAATTATGGGCATTGCAACAAAAATTGTGAATTCCATCCGTGCACGTAGCTTGCAACGGCGGCTCTTTCAGTTGCAGTTGGAAAATAGGGAGTCAGCTGAATACACTGATTTAGTTCTTCACACGGACGTCAGGTGGTTGAGTCGCGGAAAATTCCTAGAAAGGTTTTAAGAATTATTGCCCGAAATAACAGCTTTTCTAGACGAAAGAGGTGATGACACTCAGATTTTGAAAAATGAAAAATGGCTAAATGATAGATCAACTGAAAAGAAAGGATCTGAAACATTTTCCGTCTTTGAAAGCAAGGATTCCTCAGTTGAATTATGATACGTATGAGGCTGAATTATCAAATATTTTGGGACAATTCGAAATGCGTTTTTATGTTTGCAGTAAATTAGAAAATTTTAACATCATTTATGAGTTATCCTTTTTCATGTGAAAACATTGAGGAATTAGCTACTGAAATAGCAGGTCAGTTTAATATGAACTCATGTTCTGTTGAAAATGAGTTGGTGCAGATTATATCAGATATACATCTTAAAGCTACAGTATCTGATACAAATTTCTGACGTTTTATATCTGAAGATAAATATCCGAATGTAACGCAAATCGCCCTTCAACTGACGGCATTTTTTGGGTTAACTTACTTGTGCGAGTCTGCATTTTCTGAAATGAAGATAATTAAGTCAAAATATCGCAATCGACTAACTGATCATATGACATCATGCTTGCGATTAGCACTCAGTGGTTACGTACCATCTTATGAAAAGTATGCTGAGGACATGCAGTGCCACGCTTCAACATCCAAAGTCATTCCTTAGTTAAGTTTAACACCATATGTAACTCTTTTGTTTTGTAACAACAAATAAACTCGCAATTTTAAATAACTATTAGTTTTTTCATTGATATTGTAGAGAAGAACCTAACTAAACCTAACCCAAACCTTGACTAAAATAATGTACCTATATTGTGCAGAAAGCTAATACCTATATATGCTACGGTACGCCCTACCTAGGTAGGTAGGGTGTATCGTGTATGTACGACAACCCTGCATCACACACACTTGCAGTCTCTCAGAGTCGATCGTAAGTAGTCTAAAAATATTGAGGTAGATCGCCAGCAGTTCAAGTTTGAGTACCCCTGTTCTAAGGTGTACCAAGTTCACCCTGTATTTATGCACTAGATATTGAGAGTGCAAAATATATAAAACTTCATGTATATAGAAATTAAAAATGCAGTACAATAATTTCTTTATTACAATATACAAACAAAAGCGAAGATAATTTGTGATGTTACATAGATGATGTTTTTGAATAATCAAAGCAATATCATTTTTAAGCTGAACAACTAGGCACGCACTGTAGACAACACTTACAAAACACCGGCTTTGCTACAGTACCTTTCTTACAAATCGGAAAAGCGCACCTAACTGCATCACAATTTAACTCGCAGTCTTTTGGAAGACACCTAGGACAGCAAGCTCCAGGAAGAGTACCCAATATTTCTCCATTTGCACAGGTTGGAAGCGCACCGCATCTTACCACTTTACAGTCCACTTCCCCTGGACAGGAAAAAGAAGGACCAGGAGGACACTTTTGAGCGTACACTGTGACGCAGATTGATAATATTAATAAGGTTGATACCAGACTCATTTTGTTGTTTACAAAATAGCTAGATTATACTAACGACTGCGATTGTACTAATCACGTCGAGTGAGTATTAACTGACTATTTATACAAGATTTTCTTGTTATCTTAAAGGTTTTTAAATTTATTTATAACTTTACAAACTTCGTTAAGTGGGGATAAATAAAAATAATAAGCAACTGGTTTTAAAAATAATGTGAATTATTAAATATTTACCTATTAATAATGAAAAAATCAAATAAAAACTTTAATTTTAATAGAAACCATACTATAAGAAACTTGGTATCCTTGGTATCCTTTTTTAGTTTTTACTTTTTTTATTATTTCATCTATAATTAGGTTGAATAATAGAGGACTCAGGAAATCTGCCTGTCTTATCCCATTGCCAGCTTCAATAGGATTGATTAGTTCTTCTTCTACTTTTACTTTTATTGTGTCGTTTTGGTAGATATTTTCGGCCGTTTTGATTATTCCTAGAGGTATCTCTCTTGCGTACAGTAAGTGGATAACTTCTTTTAATTTGACCCGTTCAAATGCCTTAAATACCCCGTTCAAAGATCCACAAAACATAGATATGCCAGTTTATTATATTTTAATGATTTCTCTTGCACTTGCCTCATTATAAATATAGCGTCGGTGTATAATCTGCAAGACCTAAAACCTTGATGTGCTTCTGCTAGTGTTATAATTTCACTCAGTTTATTTGTTATCACTTTGGTTGTTAAATTTGGTGTTGTGTTTAATAAATTAATTCCTCTGTAAATTTCCGGATACGATTTATCTCCATTTTCGAAAAGAGGTATTAGGATGCTTGTTCTCCATTCTTGGAGAATTCTGTTTTGTTCTATTATTTTTTGGATTAGCCTTATTAGTTTTTTGGTCTGATTGGGTCCTCCGTACTTTAGGAGTTTGTTCAGTATTCTGGCCCCTTCTGGTGATTTAAGAAGTTTATATAAGAAACATTAGTTGGTCAGATAGCCAAGCGGGCTGGGCGGCCGGTTTCTCATTCGCTTCACCGCGAGTGATTCAGTGGATGTGAGTTCGATCCCCAGCTCGGTGTACAGAAAATAAAAAGGCTAACGCAGTAGTTTAAAATTCTAAATGAATCTGTGGCTTAGATTAGAATATGCTGGTGTCTGATCGGTGGAGCAGTATGGCAAGAGATAAGAGCTATATATATATATATATATATATATATATATATATATATATATATTGTTGTGCTTATAACTGTAAATCTACTTATATAGTATGAAATGTAGTAAATTTATCTTTATCAAACAAATCAAAAGCAAAGAATATCTCAGTAAATGGTTTATGATTTTACAACTAAACTATTTCTTTATACAGAATGTTCTCGATTTTTTTAATGGTCTTTTGATTTTAATTTTATTTAAAATTTCTTTTAAAGAAATTTCATTTCTTTTGTTCAATTTTGTTACTTTAATCTCGTTTCCTTAACTTTTTTGGAGACATAGCAACGTCGCTATAGGGCTCCATAGAAACCTTTTCCTAATGACCTTATTTGAATTAATTGATAACTTTTTGGTTGACTAAATTATAAAAAAATTTTCCTGTTATGCTTTGTAGCTTCTAAGATATACCAGATCCACCAGATCCACCAGTTCGGAAGCCCAAAATATATTAGAAATTATGGCTATTTCATTAACACTTTTACTAAAATCAAAAATTGGATAAAATAATTTCTTTATTACAATATACAATCAAAAGCACACATAATTTATGATGTTATGTATATAATCTTTCTCAATAATCATAGGAAAATCGTTTTTAAACTAAACAAATTAAAGGCACACACTGTTGACAACACTTACAAAACACCTGCTTTGCAACAGAACCTCTGTTACAAACCGGAAATGCGCAACGGACTCTATCACAATTTAACTCGCAGTCTTTCGGAAGACACCTAGGACAGCAAGCTCCAGGAAGAGTACCCAATATTTCTCCTTCTGCGCAAGGTGGAAGCCTAGCGCATTTGACCAGTCTACAGTCCCCTTCCCCTGGACAAGAAAACGAAGGACCCGGCGGACAACCTTCAAGTGGACAATCTTGAGCATACACTATGACGCAGATTGTCATTATTAACAACGTTGATAACATACTCATTTTGTGGTTGACGAATTAACTAGATTGTACTAACGACTGCGATTGCACTAATGACGGGAAGTGAATATTTATTTCGACTATTTATAGAGGATTTTTTGCATGTTATCTTTTTAGGTTCTAAAATTTATTCATAATTTTGCAAACTTTGCAAAGTACGGGAGAGTGAAAAAAAATAGCAACACGTTTTAAAAATAGACATTTTTCAAATTTGAGTACAATAAAAGTTTAATTGATAACCAAAAAAATTAAACTCTATACAAAATTGGACAATCTCGTTAACTACGAAAATTGTTAGAAATTGCCGTAGGACCGTAAAAAAATATTGGTAACATTACCAAGGACAGTCTTTTATATTCGGAAAATTTTGACCCCATTTTCGGCAATTTGATACAGTACGGCATTCATAAACATAGTTTTGAATCCTTATTTAGATTACTTTTTAGGTGAAAAATCTAGGGCACAACCCTCTATTTAAAGTATTAGAAGAAAGGTGCAAAGGAAACAAAAAAGAAAGGAAAAGATTAATCAAAATTAGGTGAACTCATACTAATCTACAGTGGAGTAGCAAAAGAAAACAGAGCCAAAGAGGGTGTAGCCTTAGTAATACACCAAAGGCACCAAGATCACATCAAAGAGTGTCAATACGTATAGAAAGAATAGTAACAGCAAAGATAAGAATAAAGAAGGAAGATCTGAACATCATAGAAAATAACAAGCCTCAAACAACAAGGGAAGCGTTTTACGACCAATTACAAAAAGTAGTAGATCAAGTCAGAGGAAAGATGATAATATTGGGGGATTTTAATGCTCGAATAGACAATGAAGTATTGCCCGGCATTAAACAAAAACATAACGAGAATGTTAAAAACGAAAATGCAGAACTGATGATCAACTTCTGCACGAATAACGAACTAAGAATAAACAACACATTTTTTAACCACAAAGACCAACACAAATATATATTTAATAACACTCATGGATAAAGATCTATGATAAATTATGTTATAAGTATAACCAACAGAGATATACATACATCAAAATAAAAAAAAATTAAAATCCACACAGATTATGACAAATCCTGAAATACTCTATTGGTTTCGTTATGTTGATGACTGTTTAGTCTTCATTTCAGGTAACTCCAATTCAGCTGAACTATTACTTTTCAAAATTAATCAAATTCAACCCAATATCAAGTTCACCATGGAACTAGAATCTTGCAAGTCAATTAATTTTCTTGAACTCACCATTACCAGATTAAATGACCACTTCGACTTCAGTATCTTTAGGAAACCTACACAGACTGACCATGTAATACCCTTCTCATAGAACCACCCCATCTCTCATAAATATGCTGCTTTTCACAGTTACATCCATCGCCTGGAAACCATTCCACTTTCTCATTCAAACTACACCAAAGAACTAAATATTATCAGACAAATAGCAGTCAACAACGGTTATGATCATAACATTATCAATAAACTCATTTATAGAAAACGTCGTAGGAACTTGCAGGAGACTGCGTTCCCCAGGGATCCTACCACCAAACCCAATTAAGTTTCACTCCCTTCTCACCATGAGAGTCTTTCTGGAGATATTAGAAATCTAATTAAACGTTCGGTTGAAAATATTTATGTTTCATTTAAAGAACCTAATAACTTGGGTCAGTATATATCCAATTCCAAAGACCCCATCAACTATATGAACCGTAGTGGTGTGTATAGATTAAAATGTTCTGATTGTGATGCTACCTACATAGGAAGAACATGTAGATCATTGTCTTCACGCTCTTTAGAGCACACAAAAAGAGAAAATACTTTCACTTTCTCTCAACACCTTAAAGAACACAACCACACTCTCAATATCCCAGAAGACGTCTCACTTATTCACAACATCCCACAAAAAAACTTTCTCAAACTAGACCTATATGAAGACCTAGAAATCATTAAAGAAAAACAGAGAAGTCCAAATTGTGTCAATCGCCATGTTTCATTTAATCGAGACTTTCTTCCGCTCCACCGTCAATTATTCTCATATAACTCATTATCAAACTTACTTCTTCATTAGTATTTAAATTCTCATCCTTCTCTTATCACCTACTAATCATCCTTAGCCCCCTCAAACTTTGTTCAATATATCCAACTCCCCTTCTTTCCTCACTTCTGTCTAGGCATCCAAACGTCAAATCTGACCTAATACCCAATATTCTCCATGCTCCTTCTCAACAAAATAAATTCAGAGCAGATCATGCCACTTCCTCTCCAAAAACAATTTTCATTAATATACACCATCACCCACTCAACCACATATCTTCACCTTTTCATACTGCGTTTTCCATTTTCATTTATAACTTCTTTTTACTCATCCAATTTCCCTCAGGGTTTGGTTTTCGGGTCTCTGGGATCTTCAGTCTTTTGTAGTTTTCCCTTCATCTTCACAATAACATTTAAACATCACACATCTTTAGTAAACTTGATAGATCCACCTTAAACACAACTACTCTTACATTTCCACATATTGTCACAATACACTCCATAAGCCTATTAACTTTTCACCTACCTACACTCTAACTTATAACTCATCCTCTTTTTACTTTTATATTTCTTAGGCACCAAATGTTCCTTATAACATATAGGGCCTTTTGTTTTCTTGAGTTATAACTTGAGCAATGTAGGAACAATATCACACCTAACCATCTTTCAGACATCAATTTTCTGTCAGTCTGGCATACTTGCCCACACACATAAACAACCTACCATCTTTACTTTACACACATAACCAGTAATTCATGTTCATGTACTTATAACTTAAAAAAAATTTTATTTATCTTTACTAGGTACCAAATGTAGTTTTTTGACATAGAGGGCCTTCCATACTTAAGTTTTAAGTTGAGTACTACACGAACACCAACATTATGATCACATTCTTATCATATTTACATTTCAGCTCAACAACATATCTAAACACACCTCCACCTACTACATCAATACTCAATAATAAATCTTTTAGGACCCATCTTCCCACAGGTGCCTTTTTACCATTTTCTAGGTACCAAATGTCTCACAACATACAGGGCCTTTTGACAAAATCTTTAGCTTAAAATAAATAGATCCTTACACATGTATAGTTGGTTGCCTATTAATCCTACAAAATTTCATAAATTCCAGTTGACCTACATTAATTTTTAAAAAACCAATTTTCACTGTTTCAAATATAGCTATTTGATTAATTTACAATACAGATTACAATATTGATGGTTGATACTATTACATTATTATAATTTTAACTTTTTCAATTTTAAATAAATCTGTCAATTTTAGACAACTACCGTAAGTTACACTGACTGCTCTGACACAACATCCGTCCTAACATGTCAACAATGTCATTTTGATCAGTTGTTATCAACAGGTCCTCGTAGACACTTCGTTCCAGGACCATTTTACTCATGTAGAGTCATACGCCGCCATGTTACCTATTCAACGGTAACTTAACCATCACAAATTATAAATACTAATAATGTAAAACAACTTCAAATTCAAAACATTTAAAGGGTTTTTACCGATATATTTTGGTGGCTACTAGCATGTACAACCGTAAGTATTAACCACATTTTGCTCTAACCTTTGTCAACATTTTCATTTAACGTTCTTTTTAATAAAAGTGGTTATATACTTTCAGGTTTGCACTGATGATGGATTGTTTAATCCGATAACGTTTTGCAATGTGTTTGTGATAGCCCGTTTGGGGCATTTTTATATACCTTTTATAAAGGATTTTAAACAAATTTTTTTTGTGATATATGGTATACAGCCAGCTACAGGAACTTAGTTTCCTCGTGGAATTATACATCAAAATATTTCCCACCCAAAAGAGCGGCCAACACAAACAAAAATCAAAGTCAACGGACTAAATACGAAATCCACGAAATACTTATACAGAAAATGAATATCAGAGAACTGGAAATGAAATATTAGAAAACGATAACATCGTGGAAAGCTGGGAAGAACTCAATAATAACATAATTAATGCAGCAACAAAATCACCTGGAGAGAGGAAAGTAACGAACACTACCATATCAAAAAAGAAAACACCATGATTTAAAGAGGAAGTGAAGACAAAATGTGAAGAAATGAAGAAAGCCTTTTTTACAATACATAACACAACAAACACAACAGGCATACAACTACTATAAAATGAAACGCATACTTTAGTTAGACAAATAAAAAAGGAACACTGGCAGAATTTCTTAAAACAGATGGAACACGACTTTTATGGAACACAAAAAAATATGAAGAATGATAAAAGGACAAATAAAAGAGATAAACGAACTAATAAAAACGAAACACATTCAGAAGAAAACATGGGTAGTCTACTTTCGATCTCTATTTGCTAAAGTTGACGATAATCAACCACCAACACCAGAGGTGACGAAAAACTAAGAAATAAATATTGAGGAGGTAAAGGAAGCATTAATCCAAACTAATCCAAAAAATAATAGAACAAAACAAAAGTCCTCAAGAATGGAGATCGAGCATCCTAATACCTCTCTTCAAAAGGGAGACAAATTATACCCGAAAAATTACAGAGGAATTAATTTATTAAATACAACACTAAAATTAACAACCAAAGTGATAACAAATAAATTGAATGAAATGATAACACTAGCAGAAGAACAACAAGCTTTTAGGTTGTAACGAACTATTTTGAAAATTTTTTTTATTAAAAAACCTTTATAAAAGGTATATATTTAAAAACCCTAACGGGCTAATTAAACAAAACGTTTTCGGAATCCATATTCTATTATCAGTGTTTATAGGAGTACATGAATGTAGCCACTAAATATATGGGTAAAAATCCGTTAACATATAATTAGTTACATTTGATATACAATATTTCTTATATGTTATGATGTTAAAGTTACCGTTGGATAAGGTAACATGGCAACATATGACTCCACGTTGAAGTTGCTAGTCCTGAGACGGTGTGTCTACAAGAACTGTATGGAAGCAACTGAAAGCCTTGTTGTCGTCCAAAGTGTCGTCCAAAATTTATACAGGGGCATAACGTAACGTTTTCGATCTAGGTTCAAATTATCCTCAGAACTTTCTTTTGTAATCGAAGCTAACACTAAAATAGTAGTTGTGACATCAATATAAGGTTTTACATGTTTCAAAATTTAAATTCTAATGCGACGCTAAGTGGAAGACATTGGATAAAAATTTCAATACTTGTTTTTTTGCTCGACTTGAACACGTGGTTCTTGTCAGTTAAAACGACACAGACCAACTGCTTGCACCTGTATAAATTATGAACGACACTTTTAAAAAAAGTTTTAAATTAAATGTTTTATACCTACACACAAATTTGAAGTGATTTATTTCTGTATAAGTTTTTTAAACGATGGTATACAGCCAACTACTGGGATTTTCCCATTAATTTTCATTAAAAATAGCTACGAAAATAGGCAAAAAAAACTTTGAATTATATGACAATCATGGTTAATAATAATAATATAATGACATGAGGTTGATGTGATAGGATTTCACATAAACGGAACATACATCATCCCTGCTCGAAAGAAGGACGACTTTTTCCAACGGTTAGAGACAACCAACTGACTAGGTCCAATTGACCTAGATTGTTTTTTTCTGTAATTATTTGTAACTTAAAAGATATGGGAGGTTTTACAGTTATTGGTCTTCCAGTATTTATGTATCATATATTAAGAGTGCAAAGTATATTAAAATTAATAGTAGTTTAATTAACTCTTTATCAAAATTAAAAACTCAATATAATCATTAATCCAAAGCCTTAGCAATTATTAAAAAATATATAATCATTTTTAAGTACCATAAACTAACAACAGCAAAACATAAATGTTACATATATAATATTATTGAAATAATCACAGCAATATCTTTTTCAAACTTAACAAATATTAGGCACACACTGTGGACAACACTTACAAAACACCTGCTTTGCTACAAAGCCTTTCTTACAAACCGGAAAAGCACACCTAACTCTATCACAATTTAACTGGCACTTTTTCGGAAGACACCTAGCACAGCAAGCTCCAGGAAGAGTACCCAATATTTCTCCATCTGCACAGGGTGGAAGCCTACCGCATTTGAGCAGGCTACAGTCTACTTCCCCTGGACAGGAAAACGCAGGACCAGGGGGACAACCTTCAGGGGGGCAATCTTGGGCGTACACCATGACGCAGATTGACATTATTAACAAGGTTGATAACAGACTCATTTTGTTGTTGACAAAGTACCTAAATTTTATTAACGACTGCGATTGCACTAATGACGGCGAAAGAATATTAACTACGAGTATTTATACGGGATTTTTTGCTTATCTTAAGGTTTTTAAATTTATTTATAATTTTATAAACTTTAAAAGATATAGAAGTAAAAAATAGCAACCAGTGTTGCTGGAAGTCAGAGAAATGGCAGAATAGTAGTAGGTATCGGCAATCGGCATAGCTCTCAACAAAGGAAAAATATATATAATTAAATATGTGTATAAGAAAGAGGGCAACAGAATATACGTATTTCTGATTATTGATCGCCTTCAGAACGGTGCAATCAAGTTAGACAAGGAACATATTACCTTGGAAAAGGATTACTGTACGAGCAATGCGACCAATTTGTGGCAATAATGTTAGAAGACTCTAAGGTTTCCAGAGTAACAACTAACACATCCATCGAGGAAGCTAAGCTATGTTATTTTTTATTTTTACTATCAGGATAGAAAAAATGCTACTGTAAAATGATTTAGAAGCTGACGGGAATCAGTAATAACCTATTATAATGCCCTTTTCGTTTAGGAGCTCTTGTGACATTCAAGAGCATTCGAATGGCTATACACATCCACTGGACCGCCTTTTTTGTTTTTCAAAAGTACTGAACCAAATATTACCGTTGGTCATATTACTGCAATATTCAACCAACAGATCAGATTTTAATGTGACCACCAAGTTTGACCTTTTAAGAGATTATATTCTTCTTTGGGTGCCGTCTTCAATGAAGGTTGGCGATAACCTCAGCAAAATCATTTCTGTCCCTGGCTTTTCTTATTAAAGATTGAGAATCCAAACCAGTCCACTCACGAATGTTCTTCAACCAGGATGCCTGCCGTCTACCAGGACCACGTTTTCCTTCTACCTTCCCCTCTATAAGAAGCTGCAGTAGCTGATATTTCTCATTTCTGTATATGTGTCCCAAATATGAGGGTTTCCGTGTTTTCATTATTTTTAAGAGTTCTCTGTCGGTACCCATCTTGTGTAGGACCTGCTCGTTGCTCATATGCGCTGTCCAGGGGACTTTCAGCATCCTTCGAAATAACCACATTTCAAAACTTTCCAAACGCCTGAGTGAGTTGATTTTGTAGGTCTAGGCCTCCATTCCATATAGTAAGGTGCTGTAAACGTAACATTTCAGCATTCGGTATAGGATTTTGAGATTGAGTGTTTGAGACGTAAACATTTGTTTCATTTTTAAAAAGACATTTCTTGCTTGTTCAATTCGCGATTTTATTTCTATGTCTGGATCTATATCTTTCGTTATCCAGCACCCTAGATATCGAAATTTCTCGACATTTTCGATAATGTTACCATTCACGTTTAAAGCCATGGGTGGATGGATGGATGTTTTGGAGACAATCATTGTTTTTGTTTTCTTGACGTTAATGCTGAGGCCGTATTGTTCTCCGATCGATCTGACGCGATCTAAGAGTGTCTGGAGATCCTGTGCGCTCTCTGCAATTAGGACCGTGTCGTCGGCGTATCGTACATTATTTAGAACTCTGCCGTTAATTTTAACACCTTCTCTTGATTGCTCTAGTGCTCGTGCAAAGATTTCTTCCGAATATATATTGAAAAGTAGTGGTGACAATACACACCCCTGTCGTACACCTCGCTTGATATTGAATATTTCTGTGTCACCGGCTTCTGTTCTAACTGCTGCAGTTTGGTTAAAATACAACGTTTGGATAATTTTAAAATCGTTCTCGTCTAGTCCCTTTTTGTGAAGGCAATCCATCAGCTTATCATGTTTTACTTTGTCGAAGGCCTTTTGATAGTCAATAAAACATAAAAAGAGATCCTTTTTTTGGTCTCGATATTTTTGCAGCAGTATAATAAAACTGGTTAATGCTTCCCCTGTCCCAAATCCATTTCGGAAGCCAAATTGTTCATCACTGATATCCTGTTCACATTTCTTATAAATATAAATTAAAGAGACTATATGTAGTCTTAAAAGTACAAAATACATAATAAAGAGTAATTGTTTTATTTTTTATTAAAAAAAATCAACATAATTATTTTTTTATGAACTATAAAATCGAAAATATAGATAATCTTCGTACGAATAATCATAACAATGATATTCGTCTTTTTCAGGCCTGGGATGGTACACATTGTAGACAACATTTACAGAACACCTGCTTTGCCACAAAACCTTTATCACAAACCGAGGCAACGCAACTGACAATGTCACAATTTAACTCGCAGTTTTTAGGAAGACATCTAGGACAGCACGCTCCAGGAAGCGTACCCAGGATTTCACCATTGGAACAGGTCGGTGACGAACTGCATTTGACTCGTTTACAGTCAGCCCCGGGGCATGAAAACGGAGGACCGGGAGGACAATCTTGAGCGTACACTATAATGTAGATTGAAAATAATAATAAAGTTGATATGAGCCGCATTTTGTTGTTAACAAAGTTAGTAAATTATACCAATAACGTAGGAATTTCCACCGTCAGTATTTATAGGGTATTTACTTGTTATCTTCTGCATTTTTTATTCTATTTATGTCGTAAGCCTTTCTAGGTAAAGATAAGTAAACAAAAAACCCACTGCTTTAAAACAACTAATAAATTACTAGTAAATTACTAAATATATTAATATACAGTGTGAGGCAAATATATGGAAAGTTTGAATTAGTTCAAAACTATTTATATGGTTGTAGAGCTCGTATAAAATACCTTGGACAGACAAAATAACAAATAGTGTAGTTCTTTGAAGAATGAACAAAAAACGGGAGCTGTTGATTACCATCAAGAGAAGATAGTTGGAATATCTTGGTCATGTGATGAGAGAGAAAAAGTACCGACACAGTATAGTGCTTTAAAAAGAATTCTTTTTAAAGCACTATACTGTGGTACCGATTGCTCCAGTTAGTTATCCAAGGAAAGATTCAGTGCAAACGAATCGTGGGGAGATGACGTATATCTTGGCTGCGCAATTTAAGAGACTGGTTTCAGTGCACATCTAACCAATTATTTAAAGCAACAGCTTCAAAGATACGAATAGCAATGATGATTGCCAAACTCCGTAGCGGAGAGGGCACTTTAAAAAGAAGAATTGCGTTTTAATTTAAATAAGTTTTTACAAAAATTTTAAGACCCGCGCTTTAAGGTTTTATTTCGAATCAAAAGCATCGCAGAAGAGAGATTCGATTGGTTGCGAGTAAAATCTGATACGAGGAAGTACGAACTTAACAAAAGAAGAGAGGAGAACAATTTAGAGACTAATCGCAGAAACATTTTTTGTAAAGTTTGAAACTATCGGCAGTTAAAAAAAATATTTCTCGCCTTTGATGTATTAACTTCAATATGCCTCGTGTTATCCACACTTTGTTTCTCTTGTTAGTTTTTATATTTATATCTATTATTAATTTAATATTATTTTTTTATTACCAATTGCTTTTATACAATTTTACAATTTTGTTAAACAATTTACTTTTTTATCTCATTATTACCTATTCTCTTTCAGGCAATGCTTTAAAGATCAAATTTCATGAAAGTCATTTCTAAGCTAGTATGGGATTGTTTGTGAACCTTAAATAAACTTAGATTATAGGAAGGTTCACGAGAGTCATAAGGGTAATAAAAAATAAAATGGAATAGACAAACAAGGCGTATTTTCATTCATGGGAAAGGAATCCTTCTGCGGCGTTGAAAATACAGTAACAAGAACGACTAGAAGACAGTGGGTAACACATAAATCTCTGTATGTTAGAGAAGTTGATGTGTCACGAGGACAAAGACTGGCAAAATATTTCATTGTATAACACTCGCCAAAATTTAAGACAGACCTAATGAGCAAAAACTTCCTGTCAAAGCATATACACACAGTCAAAGCCATGGTAGGTCTCTTACTGTAAGCACTGTAAGCTAAATTGTTGGTTGGAGCTGATGGGATTTACACACGACGATCTATGCAAATTCTGTCACCTAGAGGAAGAAACAACAGAGCACATTTTGCGTCAGTGTGATAGCCGGGTAAATGTGCGGTTCTTTGCATTAGGTAAAGAGAAGCCACCGCAAAGAGATCAGAATTTAAAGTTGCATAAAGAGTTGCTATATTAGAGATTCTCCAGGTGATACTGGTATCATTAGCAAAAAGGAAAAAAATTTCATCGATTGTTAAATTAGTGACGTCAGTATTAAAGGTAAGGAAAAGTAGAGGACACGATATTAAACCTTGTGGTACTCCAAATACAATATTTATGTAGTATAATTTGATTTAACTAAATATTTAACTAAGATTAGAATCAATTGAAAAAAAAAAGACCTCGAATTCCGTAGAAATTCAGTTTTTTTATCAAAATGTCGTTATTTACACACTCAAAAGCTGTGGCATAGAAACAAAAAAAGTGGCAGCCTTAAGATCATTTAGTTCTTAGTAAACCTCATTTAGTACAGAAAACAAAGCATCAGTGGTATATTTACTAGAAAAAAAAGATGAACTGATTTTGTGATAAAATGTTGTTTTAAACACGAAAAAACATAATTTGAACGTTTATAAGTCTCTCAATGATTTTGGATAGTACCAGTAGTAAGGCAATACTAACGCAGTTACCTTTGGTATTCCCGAGTTTTTATTGTTTTGGCTTTATTGTAATTAAAAGAAATGCCTTATTAAGGAAGGTGACACCCAGATGTCAAATAGAAATTTTGAAATCTACGAAAGTTCTGAGCAGAAAAAGTCTTACCTAAACCTCGGGTTTCCGAGGAAGGTCTGCTGAAATTGTTAAACTTGGTATATAATGCTTCATGATCAGATAGTCCTGCATTAATAATTTTAAATCAAGGGGTGATTTCTGTATACTTCCCTGACGTCCAAATCTTTACTTCTTTAAAGATTCTTTGTTTGTTAGTTTTATTTTTTTAAGATTTTTGTTGGATATACGCCTTATTTAATACTCCAATGTCTTTTACAG